GCCACCAAAACCCACCCAACCCAGAAGCACACGTAGCCAGCTTCAACTATACCTCTTCAACTATACCTCTTCAGCTAATACTAATTCTTTCTCAGTAACACTGATTCAACCCACTGTAGCAGCCTCTGTTCTCTGGTGTGTACGTGTATCTAAGAGAACAGATTTTAGATTAGAAAACTGATCTAACTTTCTTATTCAATATTTTTTCTGTGCATTCAGCAGTCCTATTAAAACATCTGCACTAGCTGTCATTTGCACTCCAACACTGAAGCACCACAGCCATAAGAAGTCAGCACCAGCAATGTAAGTCACCGACACTGCACAGCTTGAACTTCCCAACGTGCAAATAAAGCAAGCTTCTTGTAGCAGTAACTGCTGGTCAAGTCAGTGACCACGGAAACATATAGAAGAAGCACTTAAATATTAGAAGGCTTAAATTAGAGCCAGCTTTATATTTAAGCACCTGGATAAATTCATAGTTCGCAAATAGAGGAACATATGTAAAAAGCAAGGAGAGAGCCATAGAATCGCAGGGCTTTTGTCAAATCACCTTGACGATCTAGAAATAAAAGCACCGTTTAGAAATATATTTCAGAAAGATAATAGAGTTTAGAAAACCATAAAACTGGTTTACCTTAAGAATAAACTGTTCAAGGTTGGTTTAATGTTGGTTGAATCAATCACTGCAGGGTTCTTTCAGGAAATTGGGCTCTGTATGTTTTGAAGTACTGTGATGCTACACGAGATTAACTGTTTGAGCTGAAGGTTTGGAGGTCATTAAGTTATAACACAGACTTGGGACAGTCTAATGCTCTGTGAAAAAATATGTTGTTCGGGAACACAAAGAGCCAGTCAGCTTGCACACTGGTGCTTACCGTGGTTCATTTGCTCCTCAACTTCTGCACAGCACATTTTCCTTTCTCACAGATGTTAGACCGAGAAGTTTCAGCAGGCTAAAGACTGTTGAAGTACCCACAAAATAGGATGCAAAGCGAGGGACTAAAATTCTGAGTTTCAAACTGAAGTCAAACATTCACCAACCAAGGAAGCTCACGTCAGCCTCAGGATCTCTCAGCTGCAGCAGCACTGGCCCAGAAAGTTCCTGGAGTCCCCCAGAGATGAGCTGCAGCTGGGAGATGCATCTCAGCAAAGAACCCATGTGTGTTCCAGTAAAACTCCATCCTGGATCTTTTTTCCCTGCAAACACCGCACTTTGAGAGAACCTCCAACTGCTGTCATGTATAATGTGAAAGAGTGTCAGAGGAAAAAGAGCCAGCCAGCAGAAGTTGTTGATGGCAGCGTGTTACAGACATATGAATAAGGCACTCACTAGCAAGGAAATACTATGCTTATGTCCAGAGAAAGGAGAAAGGCTTCCTGGCCAACGCTCCTTACATCATCATTTGAATGCAGCACCTTTGCCACCAGGAGCCCCCCTCCCTCCCTTCAGACCCATCACAGCCCAGAGATGCACCCCCAGGGTTTTGGGGCACAGGAGCTCACTCCCCATTCACTGCAATGTGGGGATCTGCATTCCCAATGCTGCACGCGGTTCTCAGAGTGCACAGCACTGAGACAGCCCCTGTGCAAACCCTTCAGGACCATGGGCTGCTCCCCTGGAGGCTCTCTTGTTCCAGTTCAAATACTAAGCACAACACTCCCTTTTTCACTAAGGCCTTTGCTACATTTCTGTCACTTTGGTTTGCAGGAGCCTTGCCTTTTCTTTAGAGCAAGTCATTGCTTGAGCCAACATCAGGGCTGTGCCATCAGACTGATTACACTTCCAGATAATTAGAAAAGCTCTCTGAGCAGTCTCCATTCTGAGAGATGACATCCAAGGTGACACCACCCTGATATCTCTTCATTAAGTCTCCTTGAGTGTAAAGCCTTCTGAATTAAAAGCTATGTTTAAAAAGTGAAAACAGTCAAGTGTTGCAATTTCCTTTTCAGTTAGCACTACACTCCAGGATGGCATTTCATTAAAAATGCAGGTCCTCCTCGTGTAGCTGATGCTGCCGGGTATTGCAAGTCCTTGCATTTCTTTTGCGTGCGCCTTTCTGCCATGCCTGGGCACAGGTGCTTCCTTTGGAGCAGGGAAGAGTCCACAGCCACACGTGAAGCTGCTGCTGCAGCAAATGTGAGCACCCATGGACGGCTACACTGCTAGCATGGCAACCTGCAGGCACAGCCCCACTGCCTGCATGGGCGGGGGGTCATGGTGCAGTAATTCCAAATATTCTGCACTGCATATTTGATTTCAGTAACCACTTTGAAACTTATGTACAACCTGGTTCATGGCAATATATACACGTTTTAATGTCTTAATTCTGACTCCTTCCATCTCAGAGCACTGAAGGCACCGGCACAACACGGTTTTTCCTCACTGAAATGCTTCAGCTGAGCTCATAACCAAAGCACACACCTCATCTCCTCGTCTCAGTGCATGTGAGCAGAGCATTCTGCAAGGCTCTCCCCACAGCTATTTACTACAGTTTTGCTCTCCTCTATAAAAGCAGCCGCTTTCTTCTGTTAAATCTTTCCTATTTAAACAAGCACACGAACACTTCTGGCACAATACATGGTACTAAAGACTCATTTTTGTCAAAATACTTCTGCATTACCTTGACGTGGCCTGTTTTGGCTGAAGGGAGTCATTGGTATTCTGGAAAGTAAGCAGCAAGAAGTAAACCAACAAAGAACTGTCTGAAACCAATACTTTGTACTATTGTGCTGCTTCAGTGATTGCGTGAGATTCCCCATAGAGTTTGATGAAGTGTCCTCAAAAGCAAATCACAGCATTCCTCAAGGACAGAGGCAGTGCCTCCAGGGGCTGGCAGGCCCCAAAGGCAGCACCTGGCTGAAGCAAGGCTGTTTGGTGCATACAGAACTGATCCCTCTCTGCTCTAGGGAAAAGCAGTGGTCTTGGCTGTCCCTGTTGTACACCTCCACGCTGCTGTGACATGGCCTGCATCCCAGCAGAAATTACTGCACAACAATACAGGTGTCCTTGGCAGTGGCACGACTTGCAGTGCTGGATCGTGTCCTGTATTATGCCAAAGTCAGTCACTTGCTAGAAACAGTGTTAATTACAGCAATACGTCACATTTAGCCTTGTCTAGAAATAAGGCATGGTGTGCTAAATGCCCTTTAATTTTCTCACCTCACATCTATCCATCCCAATCAGGACAAATTTTTCATGCATAAATGATGCTACAAGCTTCGTGTGGAGAGATCCCTCAGAAAGCTGCAGTGTTAAAAGGCCAGGTGCTCACAAGGCGGACTCTTGGAGGGGCCTTTCTTTGTCACCTAAGTACATCTGTATGAGCCAAAGACTCCCTGCAATGTGCATGAGCTCAGCTCAGGAGCAGGAGCCCCAGTGCTCAGCAGCACGAGCTCTGTCAGAAACTGATGGCCTGTGGCCCATACCTCGCTGCATTACAAATTACCAATCAAGTTCTGAAATAATGATGATCATTCATGATATTATCACATCAAAGGGGCATTAAGATTCTCATACCAGCAATATAATTCAAAGCTAATGTTTTTTCTGATGCACGATTTACCTCGGTTTGTACAAGAGGGAAGGAAGATGTCAGGGCAGGGCATGTCCCTGGTGCAATACCCAGCTATAACGTGGTATTTCAGTGAGTAGGATAAGTTAGCCATCAAAAATAAATGTTTCTGCTGAATCTAAAGCGTGGGAAGGGTGAACACCATTCCTTATTCGCATCAGAAGGCACAATCTGTGAGCAAGTCATCCTCTTTTCTAACAAAATAATGGCAGAAAAAATAAGGGCACTGAAAACTTTTAGGGATTATCCTCAAGATCTTTCAGTGATTTTTATTTCAATTCCAGCCTTCAAAGGGAGATTCCAAATGCTAAATTTAATGGCAACGTATTCCCAGCGGTAACCGCACTGCTTCTGTGCACAGCCCTCCTACTCCCATCCATGAATTGAAATCAGAAACAGATGATATGAAATATGGAAAGTTTTCATCAGTTTTCAATCAAAGTAAAACATATCCTCCTATGAACTAATTTTCTTTGATCAAAATTCAAACACAGTTATTCAACACAACACTTTAACTGCTGCTACGAGAAACTGAAAGGAAGGGGAAGGAAAGGCAAAGGCTCAATGTCACATTACTGGCTCTAATTACCCTCTTATGATATTGATGGTAATGGGACTGAAAAAACCTCATTCCTACTTTTCCAGTAGCATTGAAATAACACAATTTTCTTCTACCTAAAATGAAAATATTTCATCCACGGCCAATACTTTCCTACAGGTGCATTTCCATAGGACAAGAAGAAATGACCTCCAGTTGTGCCAGGGGAGGTTGGATGTCAGGAAGAATTTCTTCTCAGAAAAGGTGGTCAGGCAGTGGCACGGGCTGCTCAGGGAGTGCTGGGTCACCGTCCGTAAGGTGTTTAAGGGAAGGATAGAGGTAGTACTCTGGGACACTGTTTAGTGGCATATATTGGCAGAAGATGGACAGTTGGACTGGATGATCCTGGAAGTCTTTTCCTGATTGTATGATTTCCCCCTCAGAAGTCAAAACTGCAGGCAGATGGGTATTGCAGGACCTCTCTGCTGGCTTACGAGCAGGAGGTGCTTTGACACGGCTGGTGGCCACTCTGTGATTTGCAGACACACGAAAGGCTCAAGCATGGGAATATTCTCCACCTGAAATCAACTTTCAGAAACCCAGCAAGCTACTCTGTGCTCAAATGAAAGTCCTTCTGGGTCCCGTGGAAAATACTGATTTTCCTTCTACATGGACAGCCAGAAAAAGGAAGAAAGAAGAATGAAATGTTGTCTCTCTTCACCTACTCTTGTCCCTCAAGGCTGATGCTGCTGTTCCATTTTCTCTACAACCAACAAACATTCAATTTATTTTTTCAGTCTGCCTGCAGCCAAGCTTCCCTGCATCAGCCGTGCAGCCGCCCAGCACGGCCTCGTTCAGCAGCACGAGGAGGGAGCAGTGACTGGACTTACCTGTGCATTTGCGGTCTGTATCCTCTTTCTTCGACCCGCTGATGGTTAGCTTGCAGTTGAAGTTCTCCTCCCAGTACTCAGCAAACCACACGTTCCTCCTGTTGTTCTCCAGGGTGCGGGAGGTGAAGTAGGCATCGAACCCTGGAGGAGGAGACAGACAAAGCTCAAGCTTAGCTCCTGCTTCATGGTGAGTGTTGCAGCCTGAGGAACAAAGCCACTGCTCGCATCTCCTTCAACACCAGGCACGTGTTCGTGCCTGTCCGCCACATGAGAAGCCCACGGAGAGAATGGAAATCACTTGCACATTTTATCTCCTCAGCTGCACCTTGCAAGATGTACTCAGCTGCTAGCTGAGAGTTACAAAACTAGGTAAAATACATGTAGAAGAGATTAATGTTAAAAAGAAAGTTATAAGCAAGAAGCGCGGATTAGATATATACAGATAAGGAATGAAGATAAATGATACTTGATGGGGCTCAATACAACTGTAATTTTTTAATTAACCTCTCCAGACCTCTGGAGAATGCAGCTCCATCTCACTCAGTTGGCCATTATCAGTACAACTTAATACTTCTGCATCGTGTCTCTTCATCTCCCCTCCAGACACACAAACGTAGCACAGAACTTCGAAGAGGTGACTGGAAAGCAAAGCTGGGTGCTTGGCTTAAATGACCTCCGTAGGCTGCAGTGGAAGGTTTCCAGGCCCATCAGACTCAGACCATTACTGAGGCAGTGCAGGCACAAAGCCCCTGTGTTTTATTTTTTATTTATCAAAGCGCTTAGCGTTCTGTAGTATCTGCAAGGAAATACTGCATAGCTGTGTAGCATTGAGCATTTCATAATTTTTATCTGGCTCATACCTATCTCCTATCTCTCTTTAGCACTTCAACTTGCCAAGAAAAAGAGACTTCGATTTTTTTTTTTCCAGTTCATTAAATTCTGGTAACAAATTGGATCTGCCATAGTGGAGCTATAGTTTCAAATCAAGCCAAGTATTCTTTAACAATACAGACAATACCCTTCAAAGATCATCCTCATTTTAATGGAGTTTTCCTTACAATAGCATACAGAACTCCAGGAGAAGTACTTCTTTTCCCAATAAGCAGTGGTAGTTTTAGTCCAAATCACTAATTACCCAGAGCACTGCTGTTTGCCCCAGTATTTAAGCACTTTCCCATCAGCTGTTCTCTTTCAAAGCTGAAATAACTCCTTACAGCCTGAAGGAACCCTTGTGCATGCAGATACTTGCCAATCAATAGGCAGACAGCCATGATGCCAGCAATCTGGCCTTTACACTGCAATGAGCAGAGCTCCCAGGCCCTGCCTGCCTTCCCAGTGAAACCATGCTCTCCATCTCCACTTTTTTTCCTTTTACCATCCCAGCTTGCTTTGGATTTTGCTTGTCTGTTTAGTAAGGAAAATATTTGCATGGGACAAATACAGCACTGCATGAGCACTTGCTCTACACAAACTCTTTTTTCTTTTGGTAGCCAATATACATACGCAGGTAGGTGTCATGTATACATACAGCAGGTAGTACAGACATCACAAATACACGCATATATGATCTGCAGTACTGATAGGTCTATTGCAGCTTTGTCCATTTTAAGGCAAAACCTCTTATTTCTTATTCCTGGCCAACACTACCGCTCTAGCTATGCCTGCAAAGACATTTAAGGCACAATCAAGACAAATTTCCTTCCTGAAGTTTCACAGATGAGTCGAAAAGTCAGCAGCAGCACCTGGCCCTCCCAGCCAGCTCAGCACAGAGCTCTGCCTGGAGGTACTGCTGGGGAAAGCAGATACATTCATCTGTTACTCTGAGCAGTCATTATACTAATTTCCCAAACCCGACAGCCACTGTGCAGTAAGGGGGCTGTGCTCATTCTCTTCAGAGAGTTACATAATTCTTGTAGCAAGTTATTTCAATAGCAGGATATTCATCACTGCTGCTGGCAGAGTGGAGTTTTCCTATGTCTTTCAAGTTATGTCTTTAGTCTGCAATGAGCAACATGAGAGCTTTTGCTTAAGGAGACAGCCTAGATTCACTGTTTTGAATACAACCTTCCAGAACTGAAATCAAATTTCAAATTCTGGTTACAAGGCAGTTTTGCCTCTTGTTACAAAGACAGTTGAAGTATTCAAACTATCGCACAGAATCACATAGAAAACTGCGGTGATCTGAAGCATAAGGCAGATCACAAGTAAAGAAGGCTTGAAAAAATCTGGTTGTACACAGAGAGGCTCAGGGTAAGTTACCTGCCATCCTAAAAAGTGCAAATCCACCAAAGAGGCAAATCTCAACTTTTCTGTCTTGCTCCTTTGTGTAGCTTTGCAGGTTATAAAGGTTCCATGGGGTGGAAACAAGGAAACAGCAAGCTCTTACAAGTACTAAACCATCTCTGACTCTTCTGATTTTGCAGTTAAGAGTTGCAGTAAATACATATCCTATTGAAAGAGAAAAAAAGTTCCCTGCACCATGGCCAACAATTTGTCTCTCTGAAACAAGTGGGTAAATCGACTCAATCTGGCACCCCACACAGTGAAATGGAGGCAGAAGAAAAGCATATGGCCTCATTAAATTAGCTTAGCAACCCATGTACTATGGGATAAAAATAGACAGCATGTAAACAGATGTTTTCAAACGAGAAAGAAAATGAGGAGTGGGGTCAACCTGTCTCCTCATGTTAGCTCTGTGCCCTACTGACCCAACCAGAACACATTTTCCTAATTCTGAGTCCACTGTTTACGAGGTGCATCCAAAGCCTACTGCTCATAAAGCATAATGCATATCAACGCCAAAGAAAGAAATACCGGGGTCTTCCCAAACCAGGCTGAATGCAGCTTCAATGTTGTCTGCAGCCAAGCTTGAAAATATGCCCCTTTTGCTAAAAATACACCAGAGTGCCTCCAAACCACCACAAGCTGTGAGCAGCGTGCCCCCAAAGCTTCATGCTGTGCTGCCACCCCAAGGACTGCAACCTGCAAGCAAAACATCAGCATGGGATAGAAGGCCTCAGTGCTGCGTGTAAGCAATCCTGCAAGCTCACCCTGGATATGTGCATCATCTCCACACACTCAACACTGCTGTCCAGCCCTTAGTGTTGTTTTTGCAGCTTGAAATGAAAACTTTCCAGAGTAAAACTGGACAAAGCTGCGGGAAATGAGCAGAGCTGCGATGGCTGAGACCCCGCACCTCTCCAGCTGTGCATTTATCCCAAGGGAGGCACCTAACAGGGATTCCCACCTTTTAAGGAAACCCAGTAGCAAAACCCTGTTTTGCTGTTCAGCTGTTCCACTGAGTTAAGTTCCACTTTGGGGTTTCTTTCTTTGCACTGCCTCTAGAAAGGAGAGCACAATTTCTGCTCATCTGAGCTGCAGCATCCTATGGAAAACACTTGTTTAACAGAAGCCAAAATCTAAGAGTATTTCCTAGGTTTTCTTGTTGCATACCAGCTAAACCCGCTTTCCTGTAAACCTATGTGTATTAATTTTATTACTGCTTAAACAAGCATTTCAAAGGGGATCTGTGGTCATAAAATCTGCAATGAATAGATCTTGGAAAGAGAAACAATATACTTGACCAATGTTCCAAAGTAAGTGACCTCTATGAAAAGTGCTCTACAGCTTAATAAGATAAAATCAATACGTCTTGATAAAACTGTAATAGAATTCCACAAGAATTACTCTAAACCTTTACAGATTTAATAACAAATAATAACGTTCTCATCGATTTTTTAATGATCCCTCCCCACTCTCAAGAAGACAGATCCCTATTAAGGAGTGAACATTTTTAATCATTGTTTTCTATTGACCAAGCTGAGCAGCTGAGTGACTGACGGAGGGTCAGAGGTAAGCAGAGGCCAAATGCCCATTAAGTTGACTGTGTAGAAACTCTCAGCCCTCACTTAATTCTGACACAGCCTATCATAACTGAACTCTGCCTGCTTACAGTAGATCAGATTTTCTCCAGCTTAGTTACAGGTTGGTTTAGAATGCTCAGTAAAACCCCACTGCTCCCAGAATGTGGGTGGGTTACTCTGTATTGGCTTTGTTTTCTCCCTATATCATATTATTCACAAAAATGCAGACAAAAGGAGTTATTACCACTGTCTGAACTGAACATGCACCACACTCATTGCTCTGTGACTTCAGACAATAATCATCAGCATTTCTTTTTTTTTCCACTGTTATTTTTAGACAGGTAATTGTATGAAATACAATTTGAAGCAATTTTTAAGAAGGAACCCAGAAGAAAATATAAGCTTTTCAATTAAGAGGAAAAAGGATGTATCTTTACTATTTATAAACGTCCCATCAGATCCATGGCTAACAAGTAAACAAGACCCAAGTATTCTACAGTTCAGTCTTCATCAATCATTTGCCAGAGTGGCAACATTGCTGCCTTGCAACCAACCTTGCCATGGATTAGAATTAAATATCACGAATCCCACGACGAATTCTATGACTTTCAATTGAAGAACAGCCTGTGTTGAGCATTATCGTATTTTGAACGCTAATTGTAAGACTATGGTGGGACTATGGAAAGACACATGCTATGTGATTACTTTAAGATGACCCATACAGATTTAGTTACTGTGAGTTTATTTAACAGCTCGGACTCCAGCAGCTTATCCTGATCCATGACTACAATCAACAGCTTTTTCCATTTCAGAAGGCTGACAACAGCCTTCAGAACATCAGTTTTACTATCTTCAGTGTGTTGGGTGTGAACCATTCCGAGCATCACATTATCACTGAGCAGTTCCTGCAGTGTTTTACCACCCAAAGCCCAGGATCCCACCCACCACAGGTCCCTAAGGTGGTACCCAGCCTCACCCGACTGGACCGCACACTTGGGTGTCCATCTGACAGCTCTCCTCCTGTTAGCACTCCAGCATCTTGCACATCACATTATCAGCACATTTGCTCGGGCTAATTACATTAAAGTGATTGAATTTCTTCAGATGGGAATTATAAATGATACAATTATATACAAAATAGAGCTGCTGCAACACCTGTCTTAGAAACCCTGCAGATACCGCTAATTTCCTCTCTCACCCCTCCTCCCATCTCCCACAGCCTGGAGATCCCTCAGTGCACCCTCCACACTACAGCAGGTTCCCTACAGTCAGCTTCTC